CGCTTCGAGCACATATCCGGCTCGGAACAAGCTCGCATGAAGCTGCGTACCTGGTCACAGTTGGCATCTGTCCAAGACTACACAGCAACGTTCATGGCCGTTGCTGACCAAGTGGATGACATGTCGGAAGCGGAGCGGTTAGATAAGTACGTCTGCGACCTTAAATGCGAGGTACACCGATGCCACCCGACATTGTTCAACATGGTTGGCAGAATCCACGGACGCGCTAATGCAGTACGCGAGGTCGAGTTCCCGGGAGGGAAACCGTTTTTGCGGCCAGACCTAACGGGCCACGATCAACGGAGTCCAGACACTAGACCGCCCCTACATAGGGTTGTGTTCTAAGTGCAGGTCACAAATATGCATACTGCCCTGAGAGAACGTCGGCGAAGAGGAACGACGGGAAAAGGCCGGGAAATGGGAAGAGTCAGTAACAGACAAGCCCCTTACTGACCGTGCTCTGTCGCCCGAACACCATCCCCACGGAGTCGTGGTTCCGATTCATGCAATCGATCACACTCGGCCAAATAACGTGAATAACCATGTGGATCACCCTGGAGTGGTCGCTGGCAAAGTGTAAACAAATAATTTGAAAATGTTTGTCGACAGAGGGGCCAGCCATAGCCTCTTCAACTTGGCGACATCAAAAGAATGCAAGCTGCAACTTGACAGGTGTCTGCCCGAAATTGACGCTCGCCTTGTGGATGGGACGCCTCCTGCGATTTTGGAAGAAACACGGATGGTGTGGATCGAATGCGGTGACGATTTCGGCTTCAGCATGAAGTTTCTTGCGACGACATTGGACGGCTGCGACGTGCTGCTGGGATGTGATTGGCTGCAACGGCACAACCCCATCATCGATTGGACGACGGGATCGTGCAGCATCAGCAAGCACGAAGGGCTAAATAAGCTACATGCATGGACACCTGACTACATCCAAGCCTCCTGCGTCAAAGCTATCACTATAGCTCACCACTTCAACCGATGCGCGCAGCTGTTCGTCGTATGCTTGCGCGAGTTGGCTGTCAGAATCCCAACCACTAGACCATTGGGATAAAAGGGCTTGTTTGTGTAGCGGGTCCGTGCGCCCATAACCCGTCAGGCGAACGCGCCTGTAACCCCCCTAGGATCAATCGGGGATCTCACAGTGCAGCTCTACTGACACCCCCCCACACTGGGAGGCCCAGGACTGAGCACAGCGGAAACGGCCTACTTGTGCATACACTGGGATTTGAACCTGAGACCGCTCTGATACCATGTCAGAATCCCAACCACTAGACCATTGGGATAAAAGGGCTTGTTTGTGTAGCGGGTCCGTGCGCCCATAACCCCCAGGCGAACGCGCCTGTAACCCCCCTAGGATCAATCGGGATCTCACAGTGCAGCTCTACTGACATTGACAACCGACACCGATGGAAATGACATCGAAAAGTTGTGCGCAGCGGTACCACCTGATTTAGCGGAGATGATTCGACAGGACCCGGACATCTTCCCCAACGATCTGCCACCTGGACTACTGCCCGAACGCTCCAGCTGGACTTAGGAGCGCAGCCGACTGTTCGTACACAGTGGCGGTTGACTCAGCCAGAACTCGAGAAGCTGCAAAGACAAATCGACGCACTGTTGGAGAAGGGGTTCATCAGATCCAGTACATCTCCCTTCGCGGCCCCAATACTGTTCACGCCGAAGAAAGGTTTCGGGCTTCGCATGTGCATCGACTATCGCGCGCTCAACCGGGTGACAATCAAGTCTCGCTACCCAATCTCACGCACCGACGACCTTCTCGACCAATTTCGCGGCGCTCGCTACTTTTAAAAAATCGACTTGCGTGGCAATTACCACCAGATTCGGGTCTTCGCGGACGACTGTCACAAGACCGCGTTTCGCACCCGCTACGGAAGCTACGAGTACACTGTGATGCCGCCGTTCGGCCTCACCAACGCGCCCTCGACTTTTCAGTTGACCATGCACAGGATCTCCCGGGATCTTCTCGACAAGTGCGTTATCGTCTACTTGGACGATATCTTGATATATAGCAGGATACAAGAACAACACCTCCGCGACCTCGGCACAGCGTTTAAGTGGTTGCAGCAGAACTGCCTCATCACCAAGGGCTCTAAGTGCAAGATTTTTAAGTAGGAGTTGGAGTTTTTGGGGCACGTCATCTCCTGCAACAGCATCAAAATCGACCCAGCGAAAATCAAGACCATTCAGGAGTGGAAGTCCACGACGAATGTCACGGAACTACAGAGTTTTATGGGGTTTGTGAATTACGTCAGGCGGTTTATCCTGAATATGGCAGGGATAACCGGCCCGCTAACCGACCTGCTACACAAGGACACGAACATTGTGTGGGGGGAGGAAGTTGAGGTGGCTTTCCAGGATTTAAAAAGGTTTCTCGTTTCCCCCTGGTTTTGCGCATCGCCAACCCATCGAAGCCGTTCGAAGTCGTCACCGACGCCTCAGATTTTGCCATCAGAGCTGTACTCCTCCAGGATTTCGGGAACGGACTGCAGCCGATCTGTCAGAATATGTTGTTTGTGTAGCCTGCAGTGGGGTACTCAATAGTGAGTACAGCCCCTTAGGGTTTGCTATTTGTATCTTGCTGCTTGCTAGTTCAATCATTCCTTCTCAATTCTGTTCCTGCACACATTCCTAGCTCGTACTTGGCTCCTCGTTACTAGTCCTACTGTGGCCTAGGCTACTAAGCCTAGGCCGTACTCCTACTACTTCTGACATGGTATCAGAGCGCGGCATGTCTGCCGCCTTCCTGTGTATGGGCCCACCACCCGCTTCCGCTGCCGTACTGTCCGCCGCGCGCCCCGTGGTGCGCGGCAGCGAAACCCTAATTTCTGCCCGCCGCGCGCTCGGGGCGCCTGGCGGTTTTCCCTTCCGTGGCGCCCGTCGTGGTGCCCTTGGGGGGGCCTCCGCGGTCCCCTCCCGTCGAAGCGCCCGTCGAGGCGCTCTCGGGGACCCGCGCGGCCTCCCCCCCCGTCGCCCGTCGAGGCGACCTCGGGGACCCGCGCGGCCTCCCCTCCCGTCGCCCGTCGAGGCGACCTTGGGGGCCCGCGCGGCCTCCCCACCAGTCGCCCGTCGTGGCGACCACGGGGGCCGCGCGCGGTCCCCTCCCGTCGCCCGTCGAGGCGACTTCGGGGGCCGTGCGCGGCCCTCCCCGTCGCCCGTCGAGGCGACTTCGGGGGGCCCGCGCGGCGCCCTCCCCGTCGCCCGTCGAGGTGGCTCTGGGGGCCCGTCGCGGCGCCCTCCCTGGTGCCCGTCGCGGCGCCCCGGGGGGGGCCGCGCGGCTCCCTTCTCGTCGCCCCTCGGGGCGCCCTGGGGGCCGTGCGTTTTCCCCCCCCGCGGCCGCCCCTGGAGCCGCCCGCCACTGCAGCAGCAGCCCCTGGAGCCGCCCGCACCTGCAGCAGCCGCCCCTGGAGCCGCCCGCCAGTGCAGCAGCCGCCCCTAGAGCAGCCCGCACCTGCAGCAGCCGCTCCTGGAGCAGCCCACACCTGCAGCAGCCGCCCCTGGAGCAGCCCGCACCTGCAGCAGCCGCCCCTGCAGAAGCCCGTCCCGTCCCCCCCCCCCCCCCCCCCCCCCCCCCGTGCTGCCCATTGCTCCCATTCCACCGTGCGTTCCGCGGTGGTTGGGGTGTGGGGTGGCGAGCATGGGGGTGAGAGGTGTGGGTTCTCCCCTCCTCCTTTTTCGTCTCCCACTGCTGCAGCTGCCGCTGAGGGGGGTGGAGGTGTGGGAGTCGTGGGGAGTGGCACTAGGGGGGTGATGTGGGAATGGAGCTAGGGGTGAAACAGGGGGTGTGTGAGAGGGGTGTGGGACTGTTGGGGGAGGTTGAGTGGAGGCTGCTGTCTTGTCGTCCGCAGCACCTGTAGTCCGGGGCGCACTGTCCTGGTAGCTCAGAGAGCCTGCTGCACCTATTGCCCGTGGGTCCGTTGCTCCTGCCGCTCGTCGCAGCCGCAGAGCCTGTTACTCCTGTATTCCGGGACGCACTGTCTCGGTAGCCACTGAGAGCCTGCTGCACCAGTCGCCCGTGGGTCCGTTACTTCTGCCGCTCGTCGTAGCCGCAGAGCCAGTTACTCCAGTATTCCGGGGCGCTCTGTCTCGGTAGCCATTGTGTCAGCCGCCACTGTGTCAGCCGCTTCTGTTGCCCGTGTGTCTGCAGCTTCAATCGTCGCCTCCCATCTTCTCTCCTCTCACAGTCCCTCCTCCTCCTCACTTGCCCGCTGTGACTACCACTAGCTTTGCTCATATTTATGAACTATTGCTATGACTGCTCATTGTGCTGATTACACCCCACTTTGGCTATGGGGGTGTGTCAGAATATGTTGTTTGTGTAGCCTGCAGTGGGGTACTCAATAGTGAGTACAGCCCCTTAGGGTTTGCTATTTGTATCTTGCTGCTTGCTAGTTCAATCATTCCTTCTCAATTCTGTTCCTACACACATTCCTAGCTCGTACTTGGCTCCTCGTTACTAGTCCTACTGTGGCCTAGGCTACTAAGCCTAGGCCGTACTCCTACTACTTCTGACACGATCGCCTACGAATCACATAAGCTGCAGTCAGCCGAGCGAAACTACCCGATACATGACAATGTGATGCTCGTGTCACAATAGATTTATATCTATTTAGTATAATCTGCCTGTATTGTAGCTGTTGTGTAATTCCCTTGTATGGTGGTGCACCTCTTTCACCTTTGTTAGACTGCTATATGTACTCGTGTGCTATAGTGAACCTCCAACCATTCTCTCTCTCGCTTGGCACAAACTCTCTCGACTCCCGCTTGGCCTAGGCTACTAAGCCTAGGCCTACTAGCTACACCCGTCGCCTAGATTACGTTCGTTCGTTGACATGGTATAGAGCTAGGTCGTTCCCGACCTATTTCTGAAGGGCCCACCGTTAACCTTCACGATGGCGCGTCCCGTTAACCAGCAAATCGCGGCCCCGTTCGTCCTTTCCCGTCGCTCGCCCGTAGTAAAATTCGTCACGGTAGGCATGACGGACGCTACAGTCGCGGCGGGAGTGACGGCGATCGTCGACCCGCTGCTTCGCGCCGTCGTTTGCGCCCCCGTCGACCCCGCGCACTACCCGCTACTGCAGCCCGCCACCCGCGCGATTTCCGCTGCTGCAGCCCGTCGCCCGTCCCGTCGCACTGCCGCCCGTCGCCAGATCCCCACCACCCGTACGCACTCCGCTGCCCGTCGCCAAGTCCCCGCCCGCCCTCCCGTCGACTTCGCAACTGCTGTGAAGGGAGTGGCGGGGGTGGCGAGAGTGGTGGGAGTGGCGGGAGAAGCTGCTGCTACGCCATTGCACGCGCCAAATAGTCCGCGACCCGCACCCCGCACCCCGCCCGTCGCCCGTACGCCACCTGCACCCCGCACCCCGCCCGCCGCCCGTGCGCCACCCGCACCCCGCACCCCGCCCGTCGCCCGTACGCCATCCGCATCACGCCGACGTCCGTGCCCCCGTCCGCGAGACCCGTCTGAACCCCGTACCTGCACCCAGACCGCCGTTCTGCCCCAGATCCCGCCCCCCCCCACCGACAACTGCCACCCCACCCCCATCTCCGGCTCCGTATCCAGCGGGAAGGGGAGGAGGTGTGGTGTTGGCCCGAAGGGGACGGCTGGGGGAGGGGGAGTGGCGGGGTTGGCGGCTCATGTAAGGGGGAGGTTGAGGGGGTGGGTAATCCATCTGCAGCTACTGCCGCCACACCTCCCCCTCTCTCTCTCCGCCGCTGCTGCTGCTGTGGGGGGGGAGGTTCAAGGGGTGTGGGTGGTGAAATTTCAACTGCAGCATCATCCGCCTCCTCCTCCTCTCATCCCTTGCCCCGTGCCCATGCCCGTGCTGTCCGCTCGTGTTCCACGTGCCCTTGCTGTCCGTACCCGGTTGTGCCCCGCCAGTCTCACCCGTGCTGTCCGTACCCGGTGCCCCCCGTGTTCCCGTGCTGCCCCCCGTGTTCCCGTGCTGCCCCCCGTGTTCCCATGCTGCCCCCCATGTTCCCGTGCTGCCCCCCGTGTTCCCGTGCTGCCCCCCCGTGTTCCCGTGCTGCCCCCCGTGTTCCCGTGCTGCCCCTCGTGTTCCCATGCTGCCCCGCTCTCCCCGTGCTGCCCCGTTCTGCCTGTGTTGTGCCCGTTCCCGTGCCGTGTTGCCCCGTTCAGCCCTTGTCCTGCCCCGTTCTTCCTGTGCAGCCCCGTTGTCCCCGTGTTGCCCCGTTCTGCCCGTGTTGCCCCGTTCAGCCCGTGTCCTGCCCCGTTCAGCCCGTGTTTTGCCCTGTTCTGCCCGTGTTGCCCCGTTCAGCCCGTATCCTGCCCCGTTCTGCCCGTGTTGCCCCATTCAGCCCGTGTCCTGTCCCGTTCTGCTACCCGTGTTGCTCCGTTCAGCCCGTGTCCTGCCCCGCTCTGCCCGTGTTGCCCCGTTCTGCCCATGTTGCCCCGTTCAGCCCGTGTCTTGCCCCGTTCAGCCCGTGTCCTGCCCCGTTCTGCCCGTGTTGCCCAGTTCAGCCCGTGTTGCCCCGTTCTGCCCGTGTTGCCCCGTTCAGCCCGTGTCCTGCCCCATTCAGCCCATGTTATGCCCTGTTCTGCCCGTGTTGCCCCGTTCAGCCCGTGTTTTGCCCTGTTCTGCCCGTGTTGCCCCGTTCAGCCCGTGTCCTGCCCCGTTCTGCCCGTGTTGCCCCGTTCAGCCCGTGTCCTGCCCCGTTCTGCCCGTGTTGCCCTGTTCTGCCCGTGCTGCCCCGCTCTGCCCGTTTGTGCCCTACCCGTGCTGTCCGTACCCGTTGGTGCCCCACCCGTGCTGTCAGTTCTCGCTCGTGCCCCACCCGGTCTGTGCTGCCCGGTCTCGTGCTGCTCGTCACCCCCGTGCGGCCCGTCCCGTACAGCACCTGATTGTTTCCCGAACCCGCTACTCGTACCCGTGCTCCTCGCACACCGTGCACCGCAGCCGGGCACCTGTTCCACCGCGGTGGTTCAGATGCTGCTTGGTGGTTGCTGCTTGGTGGTTGCTGCTTGTCAGCTTCAGAGGGGGCCCCTTGCTGGTGTTCCCACGCCCTGTAATGGGGTTTTACAGGTGTACCTTTTCAAGGGGGGCTTTGCACATGGTTATGCACTTCAGGCAGATAGGGGGTGTGTCACAATAGATTTATATCTATTTAGTATAATCTGCCTGTAGTGTAGCTGTTGTGTACTTCCCTTGTATGGTGGTGCACCTCTTTCACCTTTGTTAGGTTGCTATATGTACTCGTGTGCTATAGTGAACCTCCAACCATTCTCTCTCTCGCTTGGCACAAACTCTCTCGACTCCCGCTTGGCCTAGGCTACTAAGCCTAGGCCTACTAGCTACACCCGTCGCCTAGATTACGTTCGTTCGTTGACAGCTCGCCATAATACACGTGTTCAAACTGTGGTGCTACTACTTGGTAGGCGCCAACGTCACTGTTCGCACAGACCACAAGTCCCTATAGTACCTGCAAGCTCAGCCCAACCTCAACCCGCAACAAGTTCGGTGGCTGGACTACATGGAGAGCCACTTCATCTACCGCATCACGTAGAAGTAAGGGGCGAATAACATCGCCGATGCCCTGACCAGACTGACAGTTCAATCCGCTGCAGTACTCATCACCCATTCAAACCCGCTACTTACGAGACTTTTCACCCACGGCTACACTACGGACCCGTTCTTCACGACTGGGAATCACTGCAGGCGACGACTCAAAAGGGGAATTATTACATAGAAACCGGAACTGACTGGATTTGGGTTCCCGCTGACCGGCTGCTGCGTGAACTCCTTATTCAGGAGGTCCACGATTCTAACCTCTCCGGACATTTTGGGGTTGATAAAACCCAGAAGCTGTTGCACCGTCAATATTATTGGTCCGATTCTGCTAACGACATGCAGCGATATTTGTCCTCATGCAGGGTGTGTTAATCCATTAAATCGACACGTCAGCAGCCAGCTGAATTGCTGCAACCCCTCGAGCCACCCGAACGACCGTGGCAGCAGGTGACGATGAGTTTCGGCACGGGTCTGCCTGCTGGGCTGTCCAGCAACGACGTTGTACTCGTCGTCGTCGATCGCCTTACGAAAATGACGCACTTCGCACCATGTCGTACAACAATCTCAACCGAAGTAACAGTGCGCCTCTGCATCTCAACCATCGTGCGACTGCACGGAATCCCCTCGGCGATCATCAGCAACAGGGACCCAAAGTTCACTTCAAAACTCTGGAAAGAGACGTGGGCACAGTATGGCACGAAGCTACAGTTCTCATCAGCATACCACCCGCAAACGGACGGCCAGACCGAGTGAACCAATCAGATGATGGAGTAGGTGATTAGGACAAACTGCCCTGACCCTGCTCGTTGGGAAACGTCGCTCGCCATGCTGGAGTTTGCGTTCAACAACGCCCCGTCCAGCACGACTAATCACTCCCCGCTCTATTTAAATTACGGGATGGATCAGGTGGTACCTACAACGACTACATTTGACAACCCGGTCCTGAGGTCACAAACATTTCTGACGGAACTCCAGGAGATTCGCGAAAAGGCAGCCGACGCAATTCGCAAGGCTAATATCACTACCCGCAAATACACTGATCTCCTACGACAAGAAATCGTCATGGCAGCTGGGCAACTATATGCTGCTTGACACAAAAACTTGCGCTTGCCCGGCCCGAGCAAGCTACGGCCACGATTTTGTGGGCCATTTCGCATCATCCAGATGGTGAGACCTGTCACCGCGAAGCTGCTGATACTCGACGACTGGCGTATACATGATGCCTTCCATGTCAGCCTCCTTCGCAAGTTCGTGCCTCGCACGACAAACATCGCGCGCCAGACCGCTGCCCCGACAGCCCGACCTGTCCCGGAACCTGCACTTGACCCGTCCAAGATTTTGGCGCATCATGTTCGGCTCGACGTTTCTGGACGCCACATGGATTTTCTAATCCATTGGACTAACCGCACCAATGAGGACGACACCTGGGTGTCATCCGCCTCGCATGAAGCTTTCCCGCTTCTTAGTGATTATCTAGCCCGCAAGCGAGCTGCGGATATTGACCACCTTTCTCGGGGGGGGGGGGGGGGGCGGGGGGGGGGGGGGGGGGGGGGGGGGGGGGGGGGGGGGGGGGGGGGGGGGGGGTGGTAGGGAAAAACCCTTTTCCTTACTGGGGTTTACTCAGCCACGTACAACCTCAACTTTCGGAAGTGCACGTTTGGCCATTTTGCTTGCTGCCGAAGCAACCTCGCGTCGCCTTCGGCTTTCCCTTGCCCAAACTGCACCCAACCTCGCGTTCCCGAGGTTCCCGCCTAGCTAGGTTGTCCCACTATACAATTGCGTGCCTTTCATTGTAACGTGAGTTCATTGAGTCACAACTTCGTCATTCTTTATTCCACGCACTCTCTTTTACAACTCATAACAATCATTTTGATGGGTTTTGGGGTACGGTGTGTTGTGAATCTGTAAGGAAAATTCCTTTTCCTTACTTCGCGTCCCTGCTCAGCGCGTACATCATTGTTCCCGCCAACAGCACCCAACAGTAAACCGTTACCACTCGCGACATTCGCCTCGACACTATTCCCGCCACTGTTCACGACGCGACCCAACCTCACGGTTCGGTTGGTAACCCGCGCTACGGACCTCTGCCTCGGCAATTCCCAACCTCGGCGCCAGGCCCGTCGCGCACCCCATTTTCACGCATTACCGTTACCACAGTAGTTTCGCTATGTATTCTTCGCTCATGCCTTCGCTCATTGTACTCTTGCTTCGATAGTGCAATTCTCGCTCGATCAATCAATTGCACTCGTAACACTTGGTATTCAGAGCCTACGGTCTCTTCTCGGACCGCACCCACACCTTCGCTTCCCCACTATCTCAATTTTTGGGGGGGGTAGACGTCTCTCAGCGACACAACACCGCCGCTCGTAGTGCTCTCTCGTAAGCACGCATGGCCACGATAGAGGCTCTCGCTGAATTTGTCCGACACCCCCGCCATGGCCTAATTCAATCTTGCGACACTGACGCAGGAGCAACTTGACCATCTCGTGTGCCAAGTCGAAGAATCGGCGCTCGAAATTGCGACACTCACGGCGGAACGTGACTCCGCGCGTCATCAATCCACGGTGAATACTCCGGCGCCACCACACGCACCTGCAAATGCACCTGCACAATCGGAGGAGCCGATCATCATCTCATCAGGCACACCGACACAAAATGACAGTGTGGGACAGCACTCAGGTGCAGCCAGTGATGGCGCCGCCCACTCAATGCCTGGCATGGAGAGGAACAGGGTCGCGCCAAGCCCGCGGGAGCCTCGTGAAGCCCGTCGGCACGTAGAATTCGCGGCAACAAGTGGCGGCCACGCCATCATGGCACCAATGCCACTCAAGCCACAGCGCCCGCCCTGCTTCGACCCGAGCCAGCGTGGAGGTCTGACGGTTCAGTCGTGGGTCTTCACGATGAACGTATTCTTCAATGCAAACTACGTCGAGTCGGACGCAGCGAAGATCAGATACGCCATCTCGCTGCTGAGGGGCCCCCCCATGGACTGGTGGCGAGTCATCGTGACGTCGCCACGCGCCTACGAGCCACCGTCGCAAGAGGAAGGGCCCACGGGTCTAGCCGTCACCTGGAGTTCATTCTGTGAAACCGCCCAGTACAGCACGTGGGATGCGTGGTGCGCAGGGCTTCGGGCGCGCTTCGAGCCGATCGCGGCTTCTATTTCGGCGCGTCAGAGACTGCGTACTTGGCGGCAGCTCGGGTCGGTTCAAGACTACACGAGCGGTTTTCTTGCATTATGTGAGCAAGTTGGCTACATGCACGAAGCGGAGCGGGTGGACCGTTACGTCGGAGGGCTGAAGCCGGACATCTCGCACGAAATCATGCTACGCGGACTCTCGAATTTCAACGAGATTCTCGCGCTCGCCGAGAAAATCGACATTTTGCACCGTCCGAGACCGGGGTCCTACTACGGACATCGCCCTCGGGGACCGATCGAGCACGCCACCGTACATGCCGTTGCGACAAATGCAGCTGCCGCACCGTTTAAGGGGCGCTGCTTTGCTTGCAATAGGCCGGGCCATCGCAAGAGTGAGTGCCCAGAGGAGCTGAGGCGCCGCGGAGCAGAGCAGGGGAGGGAGTCTCCAAGGCAGGGAAACGCCAGCAGTCAGTAGGAATCGGGCCAACTACGGACGAGACTGCCTGCTCGCCCAACCCCAACAACCCTCACCGAGTCACAGTACCGATTCACGCCACCGATCGGGCTCGGACGAATAAGGAGTGTACAACGACGGATTGCCCAGTACTGATCCATGGGAAAATACAGGGAGCAGCACTGAAGATTTTTATCGACGGAGGAGCAAGTCACAGTTTAGTTAATACCGCAACCGCACGGAAACTGCAACTGGCACTTAGCCGGTGTTTACCAGAGATAGATGCACGCTTAGTCGACGGCACGCCACTGGCCATACGGGAGAAGGTGGAGAGAGTAAAAGTCCGCTGCGGGGGAAATTTCGGGTTTACACAGGAGATGCTCGCGAAGACATTAGATGGGCACGACATTTTACTGGGACGTGATTGGCTGCAACGGTATAACCCGCGAATTGACTAGATGACGGGTAGCTGCACTGTGCGAAGTAGCGGCAACTGGGTCGAACTACCTCTCTGGCAATCGCCTGAGTCTTCAACGGTACGCGTCAACGCCGTCACCATGAAACGGGCTGTCGCCACTGGAGGTGACGTGTACGCAGTAGACATTGCAGTGGTAGAGGAAGCAGAGCAGCCGAGCGATTTCAAGAAACTGCTGGCAGCGGTACCGCCTGAACTACAGGAACTGTTGAAACGGTACCCGGGGATTTTTCCCGATGACTTACCGGAGGGACTGCCACCTCAG